CCCGAGTTCTGACACATCCTATATATTGTTACACACTTTTTTAAATGTTCTGAAAAATCAATATTCTGAAAAATCGAACAATTGAAAAACCCGTTGCAATAATTATTTTAGATTAACGAGGTTTTTCTGTACATTTTGATAATACATACATTATTACAGGGTGTTTCACGTAAATTTACGAGGCCTGCGCCTGTAAGATGCAATCAATAATACATATTCCGATACGAACTCGATTTCAAATTTTGAAAAATTGGATAATCTTCTCTAGTTTGTTCACGCTTTCAGAAATTACAACGTTTTTAGTTAGTTAGTGATTAAGATAGATGAACTACAATCATATTCATGACGTCTCTTAATAGAACAAATGATAATTGTTTCTGAAAAACTGCAGTTTATGACTATTAATAAAACAGTGATTAGTTTGACAACTACTGTCATAGGTTTCCAAAAATTAAATAATTAAATGTGTATTTTTTGTATCCAGTGTTTTGTGACTTTTGTATATTTGGGTGCGTACATTAGGCGTAAGCCTCGTAAAGTTATGTGAAATACTCTGTATATAAACAAGCAAACTGACTTATTACTTTGAAATTAAGTTGACATTGAATAATGTAGAGACTGAAAAATATACAACGATATACACAAAGTAGGTATGTAGTAAACATGTATATATTATTAAAGTAAATTAAACAAGGTACAAGAGATAAAATTAAGTTTGTTGCTTGATTTTCTATTTTGTATTTATTTCAATACTTTTTTAGAAAATAAAACAAACCAATTTGTGTGAGTTGTTAACAAGGTTTTTTACTGGAAATAAAAATATATAAATAATCGTTAAAAATAATATACAGATCCTATAGGTACTTTTTTATATGGATTTATGTAAGTATATGTACTTACTTATGGGTCAAAAATAATCTCATAACAAAATTTTGTAGCAATATTTTTGGTTTTTACCTTTAATTATTACTTCAAATCTTAATGACATTTTCAAGATTTTCAGCAGAAAATTGAATTTTTTTTGTAATTTCCACTTTTAATAATTTTACAGAAAAACTAAGCTTCATTTGGTTAAATACTTTATTTCTACATTAGAAAAATTAAGAAATTATGTTTTTTTAATACATAAGTTTTGCCTAAACACTTTCAATTTTTTCTTTTTTTATTAAACTTAAAATCACAACTTTTGAAGGTTTGTATAGAAATTTTTTTTCCTTCAACAAATATGACTCAAACTGTGAAGCTAAGAGACATTTTAAAAAATGTTAAATATTTACCTACTTTTCAAACTTTAAAGAAATTATAAGAACGATATTTAGAGATTTAAACTAAAATAATAATAATAATAGTAAAAGAGTACACATCGAGGTTTTTGTGTTATTTGCATGTTGTTGAACTAATAATTTTTTGTAACTTTTGTCGATGTCGAAGCTAAACAAGCCATTGCCAATAATTATTTCCCGAATGTCTGCAAACTCCGAATGGTCGTTTTCATTGTAGACGCGAATGATCCGTTAGTGACAAGCATACAAAGCTGCGTGCCCAGCAGGGGTTGACGCTGTTTCACGGACTATACGCATGCTGTTCTTTCGGAAAAATCGTCCTTATATCCAGCATTTATACGACCAAACTCGCTTTGATTAAAATCTTCCAAAACCCGACCGAGTCCGCAATCGAAAATTTCAAATCGGACGGATGCATTCAATTTGTGTTAATTGAGTCATTCCGATATAGGCTGCCATTTTAGTTTAATTTAATTTCGGTTTTTTTCTTTCTAAAGCGAGTCGATGCACTGTGCTTAATTTACATATAATTAATAAGAGACCGTGGCAATTTCCTACGAAAACTTAACGAGTGGGTAGCAAAGTGACTAGGCGAATTTTTACCACAATTAGTACAATAACAGACGTACGCAGGGTGGAATTAATTTGATTTCCTTAAAATAAACAGGAAACGATAAGTGGATAATTAATTTGTTGCCTGTTATCTTAAATAACATCAATGACAATTATTATCTTAGTGGTAGCTCGTGCTTGATAACATCTCTTAAGAAATGTGTTTACGACCAATAATAATCAATTAATCAACTTGTTAGCGCCGATTTAAATTTAATTAAATTTCTTCGACACGAATTTTTTTATTCAACATTGTTATTAATGTATCGTTAGTAACTGAGCTGCCGATACAGATTTAACCAATAGCAGCATGCATAATGAGGATCAATGGCTCATTATAGCATGATCTGAACATCAATACTAATTGGTAATTTGATGTGGCCTTGATTAGATGATGAACCGAGCTATATCCGCTATCTAACTTTGCACCTCTTCATATCCTGTTATCAATTTAGTGCCCACTGAACAAGAATTTTCCTAATTACATTCTAGCAAGGATGAGGTTTTGAACTTTTTCTAATTAGCCGGAAACTAATTGACCTAATTATCGCAAATTTTATGTAAATTAAATCAAGTATCCAATTGCAATGTAGCAAATTAATTAATGGAGCAAACATACTTTTTATTTCCACTAAATATAACACAATAATTTGTATTCCGTATTACATTACATAATCCATTTTCTGTAATCTGAATCAAATTTTATTAGTTTTGATTTGGACCAAAGTAGTATCGTTAATGAAATTAATTATTATTGCTTAATATATTATTTAAATACAAAATTTATTAACGTATTTACCCTAATTTATTAATTATTGATAACAATCATTAGCGATTAGAATAATCATTAGGTC